AAGAAGACACCCGAGCGACGTGAGTTGCTTATGAAATGCATTGACACACGCCAAATGACATGAACATTCAACGCAAATAACAATACATCGCGATTATGTATTTCTCCTAACGCCAAACAAGCTGCTAATACGCTTCATTCTTGTTAATATGCTTTACATTTACATGGCTAACTCATGAGACTTGTTTGCTTTAAGTTTTAACAACAGTTTTTAAATTCCAACAAGTAAAATGGTTTGAAATTAACATGCCATCAACGCTAAGTTCCGAACGGAATGAGAGGGGTTCACTAAATAAGAATTTAAAAACCGGTTGCTCGACTTTAATCCATTTATTTTTTTTAAAGAATTTTCTAAATTTTATTTCTTTGTAATTTTACCACTATATTCCTTCGTTGTATTTTCAGCTTACGCAGACATTCTTTTTATGACTACTAACCTTTTAAGTAGCGCAGCGAATTTCGCGTATACATAATAGCAGCAAATATGGGTGTAGATCTGACTCAATTGAGGGAAAAATCTGTTATTAATTTCCAATCCGCGACTTAATATAAAAAATTGGTGTAACTACCTCGAATACTTTGTTTACAAAAAGTAAATCTTAATGTGTTAAACTTTATGTACCTAACTACTACATAAATGTACGTAAGCTAACAGATGAATCAAAATATTAAAAGCATTGCTTTCCAATTAATGAACAAAATTATTAATTGTTGTATAGTTATAAAAGAAAAATTATAATCATTTGTAAAACATATTCTGAAGTAATGACTAATTCTTGTGCTTAACGAATTTATATCCGCCCATTACCCAAACAAGTGATAGTGAAATGAATTTTTTGTAATGCATTTTTTTAAAGACTAAAATAACTTAAAAAACCCCTTTTTAGAAGCTTGAAATTCATTTTCATATTTACGAATTTTATTTAGTCTGGAGCGAACATTTTTAAATAAGTTTTGAAAACCCAACAAACCCTGCAAATGTACTTTTCCAGTAAATGTTATCCAAAAACTAAGTTTCTGGAAATTTTACCACTTTCGCTCTGCAAAAAAGTACGAAAGCTCAATACTTCCAACATGTTGCAAGTTGTTTTAAGAAATCTTATTCAAATACATACATATAGTGCCTATCAGAACTATACCACACTTTCCTCCATATACAAAAATTGTTGGAACATAGATAGTTCGTATAGTAAATGCGTGACTCTTTAAGCTTGTACTTTATTATACTAGAATGTGTTGAAACTTGGATTTATGTAGGTATGGATATAGTTTTTGTTATAGAACGAGCTACATTTAAAATAAAATAATTAAAATTAAATAAATATGTAGGAGTCGCATAGTTATGATAAGCACTATAGTTTCGTGTGGTCTACTTTAACTTAAAAATTACACAAAAAGTTCCTTCATTGACTATTAACTGCATGTAGACATAGTTTTTCTCACTGGCAAATTGTTATAAGTAAAAACTTGCAGCTTCCACCCAAAATTAATTATCATTAGGAGGGTTTCTACAAGTTTTGTACACGAAAACATATTTCTGTTTATATACATATGAGGGAATTCTAATAGCAGCCGTTAGCCACCTTCTTTTTAAGGACTACATAAACTTAGGGAGTGATCACCAATATTTAGAACTGAGAAAGAATATTCTTACAAATGCCGCTCTGTTTAAAATATCGAATTATTTATTGCTTAAAATTTGCAATATAATACTATGAATAGTATTTTTAATTTAATATTTTTGTATGACTACTAATAAATTAAAACGAATTTATAACTCGTCCAATAACATTTATTTTCTTAAAATATCCATTCATCATTAAGAATTATAATTAGGGTTGGGCTTCGCCGGTTAGATCACAATTTCGACTATCTTCTCCAATTCAACTGCAACGGACTCCAAGGTAAGATCTCAGAGGTAGCTTACTTTATGAATCGGCATGGCCTAAAGTTAGCTGCGGTTCACCTCGCACTTCCTCATAGTAGGTGGAACATCGACTCCGTCATCATCGACTGGGGACTCGAGTTTAACTTGCTGCAGTAGCCAGAGCGAAGTCTCTTGCGGCAGACGAATCTCTGTCTCGCCCACTTCAGGTGATTGTGTTCCCAAAAGGGCATTCACAGGTCGAGAGTCAGTGTAGGTCAATACTGATTTCCCGTGAATGACGTTTATGGCTTATCGGCATGCTGTCTGGACTTCGGCCGTAAGTTAGTTTAGAAGCCTTCTGACGTGCCTTGGCGAGGGCTTCGGGTGCCCGCGTCGGTAACACCCTACTAGGAATTCCTTGCAGATCATTGTGTTATGCCACCTTCGTCCACTGCATCCTACTAATCCCTGGCGACCATACAGGCGTTGCATAGTTTGGGACCGGCCGGCCACATGCCTTGTATGTTGACAGCAACGTTGCTTTGTCTTTGCCCCACTTGCTGACGACTAGCGAATTGAGGGCTGTTGCGGCTATGTACTTTATTGACAATTGCGGTTGTGTGCTCCGAAAAGAAGATGGACCTCTTTCGTCCAGGTGGTGAAAAGGGTTGCCGAGGATAGCGTAGGGGAGAGGGTTAGGCTCCTTGCAGTGAAAAAGTGAGAAAGTTCGGAGGGAGTGGTGAGACTCCCTGTGGTGGTTGGGGGAGCTTTGAGATATTGTAGTTAGATAGTAGCGGGGAGAGGACATCACCCTGTGTGACCTCCTATTTAATTTTTCTTGGCTTGCTAATTTTGTCTCTAAAAACTACTGACGAATGTTGAGCACTCTGGAGATAGCCACGCAGCTTGATGGAGCTAAGTCGATCAGCCTCAGTCCGTTATCGGACGTTTCGTCCTGGAGGCTGAATTTTCCGACAGTAGCAAATGATACAGGGGGTATCATTTGCTACTGTCAAGAACGATTTTGATACAGTGACAGGGGTAACGCCACGGCCTTCTCTTCCGTCGGGGTAGGGGCGCAGATGAGCAAGATGTGGAAGAGAAAATTGTGACTAGACGGTGAACGGTAGTACTCGCTGACGGAGTCTCTCTCTTTCTTGGATCGCGGCGATGTCTCCTTCCTAATTAAGGGTCCGGACATTCCAGGTGCATGCCTTCAAATCGTAGCCCTTTAAACGTTTGCCGTGGTCTTTATCTAACCCGACGAAGTATAATGACTGAGGTGTCTTATCACATTCGGTATGTGTACAATGCTGAGTCCAAAGAACTGTGGTGCGAGCTTTTTAGCCGAAGTTGCACATTCCAATCTTCGGTGGACAAGGCCAAACGTGGCTGCGCAAACTAAAAAACACAGCTCTGAAGTTCGGGAGGTCATCGGGAAGACTTTAAAGTCATTGTTCCTATCGCTCGTAACATAAGTAATATCTGAAATATGGAAAATAGGTAAGGTGGCACCATCACCAGCGGAATCTGCCAACCTAAGTGAATCATATCGCCAGATGCCTCTCCTTTCCCCAATAGTGAAGACTGTTGTGGGCTGGTTTCCCATCATTTGCACACCATCTAACTCCAGAAATAAATCAGTAAATATAATGGGTAATACCACCACGGCCCTTAATGCCATCAACACTTTAATAAATTGTGGCTTTAACCAAAGTCGCCGCTATCAAAGGACGGCTTTAGTAGCACTGAACTTGTCGACGGCTTTCAACACAGCACTATTTGAAGAGGCATTGAAGCGTTGGTCTGTGATTTATTTGAGTAATGGAGAGAAGAATGAAACGGAGGTGCCTCCCAGCTGGTGTTTAGTTTCTATATATATTGTATATGTATGTATATAAACACTCCTCCACCTGAGGATATTTCGATGATCTCATACGTCGACGACTTCTGCGTTGAGCATTGATGTTGAGGACTTGAGTTTTAAAGCAAATGGTTATCTCTCAGCACAACAACAATAACTAAAAATGATTGAGGGTTGCCCCTCACACCTTTCTCTCCTAAACCGCTATTATCAATAAAGTACAAAGTACTCACATCGCTTTCCTACTGCACATGGGGTAAAGGCAAAGAAATGTTTGTAATATTTTTACAAGGAAATTTACAGTCTGCCACAATAAGAAGTGACCCAAATCCTTTCATCATACTGAGTAAGCAGCTCCTGGTGGAATGCTACCGAAGTTACCACAACTACAGCCACTTACTTGAAGCTGAGTTTCCTTCAAGTCGTATCACAAGCCTTCTAATGGATCTCAAAGACCAGATTCAGCTATAAGTATGCAGACAGGACTTACACTGCATTCATCAAAGGTTAACACCTTCGGAAACTCTGGCTCCGTGAGTGCCGTCATGGGAGACCAAAGTCAACTACCACTCAGATGCAGATTCCTACTTATCCAAAATTGACCCTAACATACCCAACCTATGTCCAATAAGAGGAAACATTCCGGAGGATACTAACGACTTCCACAACCAACTCAAGCCAATTCATTTAAAACTCTCTCCTACGGTCCATCCTTGCCGATACGACTCGTTTCCGGGACCCACCGTTAAATGAGATTGATTAGGTCTTATTAAAGTTACCGAACATTTGCTAGATCCATTTTTCCAATATTTAGGTCCAGTTAAAATTTGTCAAGGGTCTTTCTGTTGTTCTTAAACTACGTCTTGAGCGGTGCCCAAGTCGGGTCTTAATATAAGTTAAACTAATATTTTGCTACATTCTTGCCGTTGTTTTAACCTCTTTGCATCTGTTCCTGCGACTATAAGCAAAAATGTACTGAATTCTAATACACACATATATTTAAGTGTTGTTAATGTATTTAGCAGTAGCAGCGTAGATGTGTCCGCTATAGAAAGTGTGCTAGTTAGAGAAGTTAATGAAACGCATCTGAAGCCGCAAGAGGTGACTGCGATCGAGGAGGTGCCGATAATCGATGCCATAAAGAAACATGGAAACAATGAAAATGATAGACAAATAATGAACATACCTATCGAGCAAACCAGCCATACGAACGACTTGAGCGCGACTAAGCCTCGGGCTGTAGAGCTTAAGATAATTAAGAAAACATTACTGCCTGTAGCAGAAGCGAGTAATTGATGTGTATATTTCTAAAACTACTTGCATAAATATGGTGAATATAAATTTAATATAACATTGCTAAGATAAATTGATAAATATTAAATACCAAATGTGTTCTAACTTTGAGTTCAAAATTTAAAAGGGGAATTCCGGATGCTTTTCAACGCTGCAAAGATAAAAAGGGAAAATATAAGTGTATATAAAGGAATATCGCATGGTTTTAACAATTCTTTAGTCTACATTCCATACTTACCCTTTGAAGAATGCGAAATCCACCACACGCACATTGGCATCCAATTTATTGAGCTGTTCAATTTCCTCTGGACTTAGTTTAAAGTCAAAGATATCTTTGTTCTCTCGCATGCGTTTGGAATTGGTGCTTTTCGGTATTACCGATAAGCCTTTCTCCACAATCCACCGTAGCAAAACTTGTGCTGCACTCTTATGATATTTCTTGGCGATCTGCTTCACTTCCGGCACCTCAAGTAAGTCGGGTAACTCACGTTCTACACCAACCATCTTATTTAAAGCGCCTACGCCTTTGGAACCTAGTGGTGAATAGGCGGTGATGGCAATGTCCGAAGCTTTGCAATACTCAATCAACTCTGGTTGTTGCAAGTAGATGTGATATTCAATCTGCAATGATTCAAAGTAGTGGATGAGTATACATATGAGCAAAAAAACGCTATATCATCCTTTTTGAATTTACTTCAATCAATGGAATTCCAGAATAAGTTCAGTAAAAAATAAATCGAGCTTTTAAACACTTCTACCCTTAAAATGTTTATTTAGGCGAAAAGGTATCTCATTAAGTCTCATTATTCAAAAAACTGTATACCCAACTTTTTTCTAAAGAGTGTAAATAAAAAGTGCAACATTTGAATGAAAATTTGCACAATTTTCTTTAATTTTGCACAGGGCTTGGAATTATGATTTTTGGGGTTTCTGTTGTAGAATTAACCATATTTTTATAAAAAATTAGCCAAAAAAAAAAATTTAATAAAGAGTGGCCCGTATTGTAAAAAACTCTCTGTACCTAAACTTTATTGATTGACTGTATATAAGTACGTACCTGTAAAACTTGCGGTTGAATGGTGCAATGCTTTCGTAGCCTTTCAATTTGCTGCAGATTGAAATTCGATATTCCAATTGATTTAGCCAACCCTTTGGCAACTAGACCTTCCATTTCCTATAATTATATTATTATGGAAAACACGCTCTTGTGCTTCTATAACTACATAGTTGCGAGCAACTCACCTTCCAAATAGCTGCGTGATCGGTGCTCGGATCAACCATAATAGTGCCATCTTCATAGCGTTTAAATTCGCCATTTTCATCGAGCATTACCGTAAATGGCGTATGTATCAAATACAAATCGACATAATCCAATTGCAGATCTGCCAAGGATTTGCGCAAAGTCGACTCTACTAGATCGGGTTTATTGCCTGAGAGACGAGAAAAGTACAAATTCTACAAAAAACTTTGTATTAAAGAGGCTTTGTGTCGTTTTTTTCAAGTACTTTTTCAGAACAAAATTTGTGTTCAGATTGCAGAACAATTTTGAAACCTACTTGAAAAAAAAAACGGCCCTTAATGTTCTTGAAATAGAAGAAGAAAAATTGGTTAAAGATTCCACAAGCAAAAGTACAAGGTCTAGCGCCCGAAGAAAGTATTTACATAGGTGGATACATATGTATTTATATACAGATAACTAACAACTTGGTACAGATCAAATCGAAGCACGATCGCGAGCAGTAAATCGGCCAAAGATTAAAAACGCATATCCAGTTTACCGACTGAGCTTCCAAAATTTGCATTTAAGAAATAACTTGTTGTATTATGTATGGATGTATGAAATTCACAAAGGCTCTAACCAACATTTTTTTTTTATTTTACAGGAAAAGCAAAAAACTAATCATGCATATGGGGCGTTCCATACCAAAACGGACGGGGTTCAAACTTCATGTGTTTGATTTGTTTAAAATTTTTAGGGTTGGTGCATAAACATATATAATATATAAATATGAAATTTGAGCTTGATTAATACAGTTTTAAAACCTTTAGAGAACGGGGCGAGAAAAAAATTTGAAAAAAAACACACGTATACACATCCAAATTCTCTATGAAAAGAAATATTAAAAAAAAAAATTTATTGAAAAATTTTTCACATACAATTTTTTGATAAAAAAAAATAGTTTTTGAAAATATGCCATCTCAAAAAAATAAAATAAAAAAAAATCACAATGGTAGCTCTGAGTATTGCGCAATATTTAAGTATAGTATTATTTATTTGCACTATGGTGCACTCTACAATAATTTGAGTTTTGAATTTTTTTTTACACCGAAGTTGAGTAAAATGAGTGCATTACAAATTAAAAATTTTTTTTTAAATTTTGGTAGAATTTTTTTCATATTTTTTCCTCGCCCCGTTCTCGAGATATTTGGAGAACTTTTAAATCGATTTGTTTCTGTTTTTGTGCTGTTAAGTTTTCAAAAATATATTAATCAAGCTTAAATTGCATGTTTATTTATTAATTATGTTTATGCATCAACCCTAAAATTTTGAAACACATCAAACACATGAAGTGGGAACCGCGTCCGTTTTGGTATGGAACGCCCCATATATGTATACGTACAGGGCGTTTTAAAAAGTGGCATAACATCGTTGTTTTTGGTACTGACACTTTCAAATTTTTAGTAAAGGTGTATTTTAAATATATCCTACCAAAATCTGTGAAAAACCTAGTTTCGAAAAAAGTGTTGGTAAGGGCCTGCGTAAATTAAGGTGACGATATGTTAAGTGTTTAAAGTGTTCCGTTTATGATACAACTCCACAACGAGCTTCGATGCATTTAGAGCTTTATTCCGCTATAAGTTGCATATAAAGCGCCGTAGCGTGTTTATGAGAAGCATTACTTTAAGAATCAACTCAATTACCTGGTGGTGGCAACTTAGTGGTCACGAATAGAGATGATCGCTTAACTTTACCAGCAGATAACCACTCCTGTAGAACGTTTCCAATAGCCTTTTCATTCAAATACACAGGTGCAGTGTCAATATGGCGGTAACCTATCTCGAGAGCTTCATTTACAGCAACGGTTATTTCTTCCTCGCTTGCCTGTGAAATAACAAAAAAAATAAATAAATAGTATGTTTATGCTTGCCATAAGATACAAAGTTTAAAGAATTTCTCTTTAATGCACAAAACTGGCGGAACTTCGGAAAGAAGATGGGCAAGGACAAAGCTTTTCAGTCTCGTGTCAAACCGATTTGTGTTGAGGCGATTACACGCCCCGCATATACAATTTTGTATTCTATGCGATGACATATAGAATTCAACACCATTTTTTTTCAAGTAAAAATTTTCTCTGGTCACTTCGAGAGCTTATATGTAGGTAAAATTGTACAGAAAAATTGAATCATATGAAAAGTGTCTGCGGGTTTTTGGGTGAACTTTTGGAAAAAAAGGTTTTTGTTGCAAATAAATTTTAATCAAGTACATATTGGCCATTATTTCTGTGAGCTTTTGCCATTTTCGAGTAGCTTCATAGTTCTA